GGAAAGCTCTGGCTGGGGGAGGCTCTGCAGAGGCTTGGGGACCTGGGTATGTCCCAGCTACGTGAGCATGGCAGGTGACCTCAATCCCAGGAGCCTCAGTTTTCTCATCTATAAAATGGGACCAGTCACCGCATCCGCTCCTCAGGGTGCCCTGCTGGCTAAGTGAGACGGTCCCACAGGAGGCGTAACACAGGCCCGCACGTGGCATTGCTGGCATCGGATTGTGATCAGCGTCCTTGCTCGTGTGCACGGCGGCACCCTGCTTCCGGGAGTGAGGACACATGCGAGAGCTCCTCAGAGTGGGGCCTTGTCTCACTTATGGCTGTTTCTCTTTGGGGTCACTGAAGGCCTGAGAGGTCACAGAGTCCCCAGTTGGACATATTCTGTATGAACCCACAACTTCTAACATTTCCCCGCTGTGTCAGGCGGAGCTGTTACTCCGAGAGTCAGCAGCAGAGCTCCCGACCTCGGGCCGGGGACCCTGGCCACGTCGGCCCTGCAGGGACCGCTGCACAGGCTCGAGCTCAAGGCTCCGGCCAGCCTGGCGGCCTCACCAGCACCAGATGTTTCTCTTCCTCCCCTCTTTTCCGCCGGGCGTTCGTGAACCTTCCTGTCATCCTCCAGGAGCGTTTGCTTAACCTTGCTAGAAGGATTGCCCCTCCAGGGCCACCGAGAGGCCCTGAGCGGTCATGTCTGCCCAAGAGCACATCGAACCTCAGTGCCTTGGGGGTCCCTCAGGTGCTGACCACAGAGCCAAGCCTGGGACTCAGGGTTTGGCCCCCCACTTTCTAGGGACATGCTGGTGAGTGACAGGCTCCGTGTCCCTGCTTTCCTCCAAAATGAAGGCAGCCACACATCTGAGAGGCTGCTGTGAGGACACCCCCAGCCCCACCACGGCAAGGCACGGAAACCCCTCTGTAAACTGTGAAGTGCTGTGCCCACGCACTGATGAGCGATTGCTTTAAAGACGCTACACTCTGTTCCATTCAATAAAGAGCTATTCTGGCATGGTTACGGAATGGAATTTTCCAGTGAACCCACTACTCTGAGGTGCAGAGTTCTCAAATATAAAGATTACCATTTTCCAGAAAAACCTGGGGTAAACTATCACCTGCCCACCAGGAAGCCAAGGGGAGGACAGGGAAGGGGTGTGGCTGGGCACCCGCAGGCTGGGGCCCTGGTGGCAGCTCCCACTGTGCAGCTGCGGATCTCTGGGCAAATCCCTTACCAGGCCTCAGTTTCCCATTTGTGAGAAGGGGAGAGTGGAGAGAGTGTTGGGCTAGATGACTGATTTCCAAAACAAGTTTTAAAGCCAGACTCTGTTCAAACAACCCTTACAAAGCAACCAAGTAAGTACAACAGGGGAAGAGGAGGGGCGAGTCTGAAGTGGGGTGGGCACACCTGGACGCCCACCTTCTCATTCCCCTGCCCCATCCCTCCCTGAGCCTCCTGTTCCTGAGACCCGAGCAGCACAGTCTGAGATGTCCAGGAAGAATGGCCGAGAGTGGTGGGTCCCGCCCTACCATTTGCCAGCTGTGTAGCCTTGGGCCAGTTACTTACCCTCTCTGGGTCCCAGTTTCCTCATCTATAAGATGAGGACCATAAGACCCACCTCTTGGGGTTGTCTACAGTCCCCCCAGGCAGGGGCACAGCAATCACGTGGCCCAGATGCTGCAGGCACGGCCCCCCACGTGCAGATGTACAGTCGAGAGAATGCGACTCCGCCACTGGGAGTAACCTTCTCTCCCGCCAGGAGGGCAAATGCCCAGAGCAGGAGATGATGCCAATCCATTCTCTCTCTCTCTCAATCTCTCCGTCTCCCTTCTTCCTCCCTCCCCCTCTCCTCTCTTCACACACTCACACATTTCACTTTCTGCCTGGGAATTGGAAGGCTCCTTTAAAATCTTTTTAGGCGCTTAACAAAAGCACACCGGAAACCGGTTCCGTTCTGGGCGCCACCAGGCCGAGCGCGCCCCCTGGTGGAAAAAAACTCTCATTCGTCCTTGGAGATTTGGCGCCGCCTGCCCTTCCCCAGGACAAGCTGGGAAGCGAGCAGAGCAGAGCGGGAGGCGAGGAAGGCGCCTGCCTCGCCTGAGAACGTGCCTCTGAGGGTGAGCTGGTCTCGTGGGTTCTTTTCTGATTTTCGCAGGTTGTCACTTGCAAGCATCAGCTGGGCCTGCAGGTCCGGGACCTAACACAGACGGGCCCTCCAGGTGACCGGAGCCAGTCTTCCAAACCTCACGCCGCCTAGCCCAGTGGTTCCCAATCCTGGGTGGACATTAGCACCAGCTGGGGACATTTGAAATATGCGGGCGGCTGCCCAGGCCCCACCTGGAATCCCGGCACCGGTGACTCCAACGCGCAGCAGGGCTGAGAACCCAGCAGTTCTGATCCTGACGCCTGCTCCCCTGCAGCAGCTTAGGGGGCCTGCGAAAGACAGGGCTTCCCCACCCAGCCTCAGACCTGCACACCAGCAGCTCTGAAGGAGAGGCCGAGGATGCCGTATGTTAAAACAAAGCCCACAGGTGATGTTCGTGAAACACTGGGTGACCCTTCTCATCTTTAAGGGAAGGCGGGGCGTCCAGGAGCCTGGACAGCCTGGGCCCGAGTTGTGGGAAGACACTTCACAGGGCCATGGAGGACTGGGAGGTGGTGCCCAGCCAGATGACCCTGCTCACAGGGGGACAAAGGGACTTGTTTCTTGTGCTATGATATCAGCTCCCTCCTCGGCCCTGTCCCCACAGGAGCCAGGTCCTCTCAGGGCCCCGGGCAGGGGAGCCCCAGCGGCCTGGGGTTGTCTCTGCCGTGTGCCGCACCGGCGGAAGCAGTGACTGTGTGGTGTCCTACTTTCCTGCTTAGCTCCCACCAGCCGCCCCCGGGCACAGGCTCTCGGCCGGGCAGTTCCCTTCCTCCAGTGACCCGGGACCTGGCCTGACCAGGCAGGGGGCCGAGCTGCGATTTTTCCTGACAGACTCAGCAACCACCTCTCCCAAAGAGCCCTCTGGTCCTGGGGGAGGGCAGGGGCCCCACAATTTCTGGAGCCCCCGCTGTCCCCAAGAGCAGGGTTCCCTGCCTCCAGGGTCCTCTGCCACCAGCATCCTGGGCTGGCTGGGGGAGACTTGTCCACCTGGGCTCCTCGGCCAGGACCCAGGCCCACCTCAGCCTCCCGCTGCAGGCCCACCCGTCCCTGGAATGCTGCGCTGTCCCACACGGCGCGTGCCACGGCCGGCAGAGGGCTGTGAGCGCCAAGAACGGGGTTCAAATCCCAGGCCCAGCATCGACCACCTAGAGATAAGCTCAGTGCCTTGGACCCTGGTTTCCTGATGATAACAATGACATCGCCACCGCCCCACCTCCCTGCCAGGGCCGCTGGAGAACCGTACTAAGCGGGCGCTGTGTAAATCGCACACTCCGTGGCCCGGTGGCTCTCCAGCCCCGCACCCCTGCAGAGGCTGCCCACCCCACAGGGGTTCTCCCGGCTGCACCCCCAGAGGCCTGCAGCTCTGCTCCCACCTCACCCCCATCCTGCCAGTGATGGCCGGGGTGTGTGTGAGCTCCCTGTGCCTCAGTTTCCTCTTCTGGACGAGGGGTGGTAATAGTCCTAGCTCGTGGGGTTATCACAGGGTCAGAGGAGTCAAGGGGTTCAGGGGAGAGGAAGCCGCGTGCACAGGGGGGCTCGGGGATCGTGTGTGATGCTGTGACGGGGGGTCCGTGTCATTGCACTTTTGCCCAAACCCATAGAATGTGCAACACAAACAAGGAAGCCCAATGTAAATGATGGACTTAGTGAATAACAATGCGTCAGTCTTGGCGCATCAGTTGTAACAAAAGGACCACATCATCGCAACGCTGTTACTTTCTGCTGTTTTTCCTGTCAACACAAACTGCTCAAACATTCAGTCTATTATAAACAAAACAAAAAAACGACTAGTAGGGAGCCCCCAGTGTTCCTCGGTGTCTCCACCCCTTGGTTCCCCTGCCGGTCCTGGGCGCCCCTCCCTGCTCAGCCCACCGAGGCGCCGGGCGGCCGCGGATCTGCGAGGCGAGGGCGCCCCCTGCCGGCCCGGAGCGGCAGTGACCGCGGGGCCGCGCTGTCCCTGCACCACTTAGGCACGCCCCGCACGCACGCCGCGTACGCGCTGTCCAGGCTGGTCAGTAGGAACCACGCGGAAAAGGTCAGACTCGTGACTTTATTACACAACAGCCCCAAGTGCCGGGGCGCAGCCTGCGTCAGGGCCCCCCTGGAGCGGCGTCTGGGACAGCGGTCCCCAGCCTTTTTTGCACCAGGGACCGGTTTCGTGGAAGACAATGTTTCCACGCAGGGCAGGGGAGTGGGGGGTAGGGGGAGCCCAGGCGGTGATGCCAGCCACGGGAGCGGCTGCAAATACGCATGAAGCTTCTCCCCCGCCGCTCGCTCGCAGCTGTGCGGCCACACCCCCTCTCCTAAGTTTCATGGAAGATAATTCTTCTGCGGCCTGGAGGTTGGGGACAGCAGGTCTAGGGGATCCCGTCCTGCTCCTGCAGCTGAAAGGGTGGGCACCGGGGTGGGGTCCCCCGCAGGTCGGAGCAGCAGGGCTCGCGGTCCCCTGTGGCCCACGTCCTGGCTATGGCACTGGTACAGGAGCCTTGACGACAGTCGCATAATAACGTGCCAGGCACGGTCCCCAACACCTTACCGGCCTAA